CAGGGGCCCCCAAGTAAGGACAAACGGAAAAAGGCATGTGCCGATGAGAAGAGTGATTGGAGGTTGAAGGTTAGAATTCAGCGAGGCTGGAAAAATACTGAAGTTAGAAAAAATGACCCTTTTTAGTTCTTTTGGGGTCAAGGAGTTGTTAAAGGAAGAGGCAGGCTCACTGCTCGGAGGTAATTGTGAAACAAGTGCTAAAGCATTTTCTAATTCTCTCTTCTCTTGTCTAAAACTGGAAGAAGAATCTTTCAACTGGAAATCATAAAAACAAAAAACAAAAATGAAAAAGCTTTATAGAACAGGAGATGAAGCCCATGAAAAGGATAAGCGCCACCATTATCAAGTACCTATTTTATGCCAAGTTGTTATCCATATTCTAATTAAATCCCATAATAACGCAGAAGAGTAGGTATTATTATAACTGGCACTGGCATCTTCCACTGTGTTTTGTGTTTTTTTACTTTAAGAAACATGAAGCTCAGGGAGGTTCGGTGACTTGCCCAAGGCCGAGCCAGGTCTTTAAATTGAAATTTGCACCTTCCCGCCATATTACAGCGCATTTCTATGGAGTCCCACAATAATAATCTCTTCCTTCTTTACTTGGACATATTAGATTGCTCTAGGAGAAAAATATGGCAAAGTTATTATATCTGTATTTCAGCAAATCATTTGAGAAAACGTCTAATGAATTTCCTGCAGATAAAGTGGTAAAATGTATGCCGGATAGTGGTAAGGTTAAGTGGCTCAACAATTGACTCAATAACCAGATTTGTGGATAGAGGATTCAGGTTTGCATCTGAATATGCCACTTATCACATGTGGGACCTTGGTGACATTATTTAAACTCTGTGAATTACAGGTTTCTTATCAGACAAATAAAGATGATAATAAAAACCAAAAAACCCAAACCCATTGCCACTGAGTTGATTTCAATTTACAGTGACCCTATAAGACAGAGTAGAACTGCCCCATAGAGTTTCCAATGAGCGGCTGGTGGATTCAAACTGCCGACCTTATGGTCAGCAGCCGAGCTCTTAACCACTGCATCACCCAGGCTTTGAAGATGACAATAAAACTACTTATCTTGTAGGATTAACTTATATCATGTATATTCAAGTTATTGTGCGAACTATTGATATTAATATTACCAATAGAGAGTTACAAAGCTTTGATCTTGGCCCTATTACAGTCATCATTTTATCAAAAACATGGAGGAAGATAGAAGAAACACTTTTATCAGATTTGCAGGTGACACCAAGCTGGCAGTAAAAGCTAGTATGTTTGGTGAGTCTTAGACCTTCAGCATAATTCAAGGTAAATGCCAGGGCTACGGCAGTCATAATGAGTTTTGGCAGGTTGGAGTAATGGACAAAACCAGTAAGAAACTAATTTAGCAAGAATGAACTTTTATGTTCGTATGTGTTTAAAACCAAAATGGCACAAAGAAGGAATGAGGAAGCAGTTCACATGAAGTAGGATCTGGGAGATTTGGTTGCTCACCAGCCCAGTCTGAAGAGCTACGTGAAAGAAACAGTAACACAATCTTAAGTTGTGTTTATAATAGGAGGGTCCATAGTATTCTTCTTGGACCAGTACTCATCTGGAGTCATTTGCTTAAGTCTGGAGAGTGTACATAGAGGACAAGGCATATGATGAGGTGTCTAGTAAGTGGTTGAAGGGACTAGAAGTTCCTGGAAAAGTGAAGAATAAATAGTGGTAGTAATAATTACAGTCACCACCACCACAATAGCTAATACTTATTGAGTTCTTTATTGTGCTAAGTCCTTTATCTGTTACTTCATTTAATCCTTTCAACAACCTCATGAGGTAAGTACTATTATTACCCACATTTTATAGATGAGAAAACTGAGATTTGGAGAGGATAAATGACTTATTCAAGATTATATAACTAGTGAGTGACGCAGCATTTATTGGAACCCAGGCATTCTTATCCAGGACAGATACTTTTAGACAGCATGGTATTCTGCTTTCTAGGAGTTGGGCCTAATAAGACAGCTAACTTAAAATATTTGAAGGACTATCATGTGCTGTGTAGTTCTAGAGGGTAGTACTAGTTCCAGCAAAAGGAAAATGAGAGGGAGATTTAGCCTAAACGTTCAGAAGACGAGTCTAACAATTACAGAGTACGGATGGGCTGCATTGGAGAGTTTATTTTCTCTAGCAGCTTGCCAAGCAGAAGTTGTATGGCCACCTCTTAAGGTTTCCCTTGCTGCTACGAGATTGCCCTTCATTGTCAATATTCTACAATTCCATTAGACTTGCCCTTGGCCAAACGTGTTATTTAGGACTCACAACTGCAAGTAGCAGGAACCCAACTAACTACAGCTAGATGTGTGGGATCTTTTGGAAGAGCAAGCATGTGGCTCATCTTCAGTCATAAAGGAACCTATGACTCTCTTCAATTCCTGCTTCCACTTTGCTGTGTTGGCTTCCTTCTCTCTTACCTTCAACCAACCTCCATCATATATCAGAAAACATAGCCACTGGCAGCTTCTGACCTTTTTCTCATCTAATAGTTTTCTGCCACAGAAGATGTATTGTGTCTTTGGTATCAAGGCAAAACAAAACACAAAAAAATCTTCACAGGCAAGGGCACAAATTCAGCTAGTTTAAGAGTCAGCGCCCCTATACCACCACCAACTGGGGCCATGGGGTGGAATTAGTTAGAAAATGGCAGGTCCCATGGGAACAATATGGATGGATCAGAAGGATGAAGCATACTAAACAATAGGGGCCCCATGCTGCAAAACAAAATGCTAAGAAGCTGGTATTCAAAAACATTAAGGACACCACTGGTTTAAGGTTTTTTTTTGACTCAGTCATACGCAAACTATGAACATGAATTTAAGGACCTGGGAATCTTCCATGCTGATTAAAGCTTTCTGAAAATATTTGAAAAGGAGAGTCACTGTTAAAACTAACCGACTATTTGGCTCTTATAATGTGCTCAGTGCTCAGCTTGGTGCAGTACTGGGTGCAAAAGATCTACAAGTCACAGTTCTTGTGCTCCAAGATTTAAAAATCTAATGGGATTAATGACTGAATGGCATGTTGGGGGAGTCCCTGGAAGGTACAAATAGTTAACATGTTTGTTGGCTAACCAAATTGTTGGAAGTTCGAGTCCACCCAGATGCATCTCTTTGGAAGAAAGGCCTGGTGATCTACTTCCAAAAAATCAGCCACTGAAAATCCTGTGGATTATTGTTCTACTCTGACACACATGGGTCGCCATGAGTTGCAATCAACTCAATTGGAACTGGAGCATTTTGGGAACCATTTTAAATATAATTATGTAATTAGCCCTTATGAATTATCTCATTTACAAATAGATTTTATATTAAGTTTAAATTAAAATTAGCTTCTTAAGGCAACTCTCAAAGGTTCAGAAATAGCCTGACTCATGGCGACCCCATGTGTGCGGAGTACAACTGCTCCATAAGGTTTTCAAGGCTGTGACTTTTCTGTCTCCCAAAGCACTTCTGGGTGGGCTCAAACCGCCAGCCTTTTAGTTAGTAGTCAAGTGCTTAACCGTTTGTGCCACCCAAGGACTCCATGCCTGGAATAGTGCCTAAAAAATAATAGAGACTAAATAAATATTCGTTCATTTAACGGATATGTATGGAGCACCTATGTGTCAAGCATTGTTATAGCACTGAGGATACAAAAGAGAAAAACAAAACAAAAAACAGACATGGTTTCTGTCCCAAAGGAGAGTACATGCTAGTCATAGTGCTGATCTACTGACAGAAGAGTGTCTAGTTCAAACTGCTTATTTCACAGGAAGAAAAACAATGTCCAGAGAGATAAAGTGTTTGAATCAAGTCATGTGGAGGATTTGAGTGGCCTAGCTGTATGTTCTTTTTTTTTTAGATTTCTTCTTGCAAGCTGCTTCTCAATAAACAATTTACAAAACAAAGGTAGGTGAGTGAACTTCTGTTTACTGTCCATGAATGCCAGCAGGATGTTAAGGGCATCATGGGCTGCCGTGGGGCTTTGGCATCTAGGGTCCCTTGGAGAGAGGATGCTGGCATCCATGTTGTTAGGGTTCAGTTGGAAACTGCTAATGAAGAGCTCAGTCCTAAACTGGGAGTTGCAAGAAGGGACTCACATGGATCATTTTTGAGGAAGTAGAAGGGCTTTTCAGGAGAGGGTGTATAAGGAAGGCAAGGGGATTTTCACAGTAGGAGAAAATGAACAGCAAAGAAATAGAGTAGGGGCTGTATATTGAATAATGAAAAATTCTATGGACCGGTATGGGGGACTAGACTAGAACTGAGCCTTGGGAATGCGGGAAATGGCTGATTCAAAGAATGGACAGAGAGCTGGGCTTGGATTTCAGTTGAAGTACTAATTAAATGTGAATCCAAACTAGCTCTTAAATTTAGAGCCTAGAGAGTACTCCCATCGGCACTGCTGGCCCCCTCCCCTGTGAGAAACTGCCCTAGAAAGACATGGAGAAACCCTCTCACCACTTCATTCTCACAAAATAGGAGCCAGTCTCCGGATGGATTGTTGTATGTCAGGTTACCACACGTTTCTCCCCAACTGGAAAGGCATCCTCGCACTAAAGCTGAACTGACACTTCAGCCAAAGGACATCAGCTGAAGGCCAACTGTCACCCCGTCATCTTCTCCCAGGGACTAGCGGAGCCCTGTGCATAATTCTTTGTGATTCTGCTACCAGTGAAGGCCAGGAGTACATGAGAAATCTCACTCCTTTTACTCATAAAACCTGTGAGCTGCTGAGTCATTCCATCAGAAATCACCTTGATCCAGAATAACAGCCTTTTTTTTAAAAGCAGCAACTTCTAATGGTGTGAGCAAAAATCCTTTGGCGCTTTAAACAAATGCTCGGCAGAGGGCTATTTGCTAAGGCCAGCAGTCCATTTCTGTTAATGAGTTAGAAAAGGATTATTTTCTTGTTTTTAAACTGATAATGTGACTTAGGGAGCTATAGCAGGCTTGGGGATGCTTGGGGAGAAGAGATGTCAGAGAAAGCACTACATACAACGTCTGTAAAGAAAAAGTTTTATTTCAAGTGTTAAATACCATCACCAGAATGCATTTGATTTACATTAGTTGGTGTTTGTTACAGGACTAATCTGCCCCTTTTTTTTTTCCAACTGGAATTCCCTTTACTTTTAAAACATATTATGTACAGGGCAGCAATGGTCACTGGATTAGTGCTATTTACATGACGAAACCACAAGTTGAGGTGCAGACGTGAAAATTAAAAAAAAAAAAAATACACCAACTTTTAAATAAATACTACATAATGATGAGTATGTACAAAGATTCCGTACGGTCATATCCTTCTTATTAAAATTAGAAATAATTTATATAGGAATATGCACAAAAGATTATGTGACTGCATCTTAGTATCAGGAAAATGGTAAACATTTATTCTAAGGGATAGTATAGACACTATAAGTCTATTAAATCAATTGTTGCTGGTACACAGGTGTCTAAATTATTTCAATAAAGTTTTATTCGTTCTTTTAACAACTTTACCTGGGTCCATCATAGATCTCAGAATGTCAAGACATACTCTCGGTGTATTTCATATTGCACCACATAAAGAAAAGGCATTTTTAGTGGTACTCATTTTAACTTTTGCACCATATCATATCAAGCATGACAGTTTTTAATGGTCAGCACTGAATCTTCCAAAACATCAAAGAAAACAATATTTATGCATGGCCTTAATTTAAAGTTAAGCAGAAGGTGTGTGGATTTCAAAAGTTACCGCAAGAAATTAAAATCAATCGATAAGACAGTGTTATTAAAGTGTACATAAAGATCCAGAACGTGTGGGCGGTCTATTACATCAGCCAGTGACTTTTCTTCTAAGTAGGGGAATGTAAGAGAACTCTGACCTTGCAGCACCACCCAATGGTAACAACTGTCGGTAAAACCAAAGGCAGGGGTTTCTGACATTAGGGGAGCGGCTTGGAGACTGTTGGCGATGGCATCAAAGAACTATTAATAGGCATATTGACCTCCCCTTAGTCATCTAAAAACTGGAGCTTTAAAATTGTTGCAAATTTATGTTTACTGTATTTCTTTAGAAATATAATTTGTGAAAAATTGAATTTACTACAGAAAAATGAATAAACAACCCCGTGTTTCAGGGTTCCAAATTTTTAGCAGTTTCTATTCACATAGTAAATGGAAATCGGCTAAAGAAATTGCTTTAATTAATTAAAAACAAAACCTAAGACCTTCTAGAAATAATACTTTAACGCCTGTATGAATAATGCTGGTGCTAAAAACAAACTTATCAGACATTACAATGGCCACATGATTTTAGAATTTTCCTATAGAACTGAATTTTGAAGGTGAAAAAAAAATTACCATGCACTGTACAATAAATCGAAAAAGTTCAAATATCTTCTTCATCAAATACATGCTGACTTACTTTAATGTACTCCCAAGTCATGTTGCAAAATCCTTTTCAACATGCTTGAAATAAAGAAAGCTCTTAAATCGTTTCATTTTTTTTTCCCTTGAGAAATTCAGAAATTCAGGCGCATTCAGGGGGTATAAGAGAATATCAGGTCAAAAATTTGTAATTTTTTTAGTATAATGTTCACTCTGCTGGGGAGAAGTAAAATAAAAGATTAAAAGAAGGCAAAGAGGAAAGCTGAGACAGAGAAAAGGAAGAGAGATGTGAACAATTTGCACAAAATATGGAACTTTATGAGATTTGTATATTTAACATGGAACTAAATTGAATGTATTATACGTATTTGTCACATAAAGAGAATTTGAAGTATCTTCTAGAAAGGGTTTTCATTCGTCATGTCTGCCAAAACACAGACTGTGATTAGTTTAAAGAATAAACATGGTGTGTCTTTGTATCACCCTGTTGCATTCTCTCCCCTTTTTAAAACCATGCACTAGTGAAATTTATTTTTAAAAATAATATAAATTGTTGAAAATGGCTGATTTTTATTTTTATTTTTTGCAAGTTGCAGCCCCAAGAAAACAATTTAAATATTCAGCTAATCTGTGTCCATGCAAAAGAAGTCTCTTTAATTTCATTCAGTACAGTGTAGCCACAGAATCTTGTTTTTCAGAGTCCTACACATCTTGGCATTGGTAAGCGATGTGCCTGCTGGAACTACAGAGTCACCGCTATTCACGCTGGACTGCTTCTCGTCCCTGTCCAGAGGAGGTCTGATGTTTTGTTCTGGACCACTTCTTTGGTCTCTTGCTTTTCACCTGATGCTTCCTAGAACTTCATTCCTTGACTTGTAACATGGCTTCATGGCTGTACAGCTCCATTTCTGTGGCATAACAGGGCTTTGGGGTCAGAGAAACGAAGAAAAAGGAACGGTAAAAATATAAAGGTGCCATTGAAAAGGGCAATTGTTGCATGAAACTGACTGATTCTTTAATTAATCCATGGCTTCAGATTGGACCACAACTCAAGTGTCACTGAACTCCAAACCCATTAGTTCTTCATCGCTCTGCTCTTTCACCTGAGGGCCTTCATTAGGGCACAATGTGTGCAACTTCCTCTGGGAACACAGGATCGCTTTGTATCCCTAGAAACAGGCTCAGAAGACACAACAGTAAGCATGCAATGTTACCAGGGTTTGCGACCTGTGGGTGGTTTTGTGTTTTTTTTTTTTGTAACGCTGGTTGCTATGACAACAGTTTTACAGCTGCTATGAACGAGAATAAGAAGGTCCGGTTGAACTTTCCAGAGATGATTGGGAAGCTCTTCTCGTTAGAGGCGCCAAGGTTGGATCTACTAGCGAAGAAGGGGGGAAAAGTTTGAACCATCCAATCACCATATTGGATAGTTCCAGTTCATCTAAAAGTATCTGGGCCACTCCCATAAAGGACTTGTGATCCATGCGGCCATAATCTCCCCAGACAATGATCTGTTGGCAAAATAAAAAGGAGAGTAATATCAGTATTATCATGGCCATAAGAACAACAAAAAACTTCCAAACTAAAACAGATTTGATTCAGTTAATGATCTGACGTCAAATATCATGTTAAAATTAAAAAAAAAAAAAGTTGCTGTCAATTGACTCCGACTCATGGTGACCCCACGTGTGCAGAGTAGAACTGCACTCCACAGAGTTTTCAACATTGTGACCTTTCAGAAGCAGATTGCTAAGCCTTTCTTCTGAAGCACCTCTGGGTGGGTTTGAATTGCCAACCCTTAGGTTAGTAGTCAAGCACTTGCTGTTTGTGCCATCCAGGTACTCCTATCATGTTAAATACCTGTATTTCATTATTGGGGTAGCTGACTCTAACTACCGGAATCCAAAAGTACATTAGAAAAACTGTACTGGAGTGTTAAGACCATAAGCACTTTAGGGAGACTGGAGCCTAGGTGTGACAGGGGTTTTTCAAGTCTATGATTCACTTGAAAGGAAACAACATTGTACAGAATTTTAAAGCACTGGCTACTACTTTGACATTCCAAAGATTCCCAGCTGTGGGGAACAGACAGGAATGTGATACATAGATGGGGTATAAAGTTTGACTTCATGAAAATACTTTCTCAGGTAGGTAAGGAATAAAAATTCAGTAAATACCTGTAAAACCTTTCCTTGGGGGCTTTCTTCAAATGATAATAGCTGCTGGTAAAGGGGTTCCAGCGTTTTTCTTGCCACTTTTGTTTTCTTTTTGGCTATGCAGACTCCATTATCTAATAGATACACCTTTACATATGGTGCTTGGGAAAGAAAACACAGAGAAGAAGTGAGGTGCTTCGGCTATGAAGTGGACCCTGCCCAACTCACAGGGGTGACATCTTATGCTGCGTTTCCATATTAGGTCAAAATCATTAGATAAACAATGGATAATTATCATTCATGTAGTTTTAAGAAATGTTGACATAGCCTCTGAATTGATTACTATTTTCTCATCAACTAGTTTTACAGATGAGAACAATGGATTAAAAGAGGTGAAGTACTTCCAGCCTCTAACAATGTTTAAGAGAGATACGGTACTCAGTGCTTACTTTATCAATTCTTAAATCTAATTTAACATCCTTAAATCTATATTGTTTTACTCATCCATCTCCACAAATTACTCATTTATCACTCAAAAGGGTGTCTTTGTTGGAGGAGCTGGGGGTAGAAGACAGGGATAGGGTTTGATGTCATACGTTCACATTAGCTGGGAAAAGGTAACTAATTATGAATTTTGTGGCTTGAAATTTATCTGACAGACAGTTTACAAAAATCATTTTCATGCAGGTATAAATCATGATATTCTTTATAGCAGAATTGGTTGACTAGCTCCTAGAGCTTTATAAACACAATTGTCTCAATCGCCACTGCAAGGTTGTTCAATAGGTAACATATATTTTAATTTAAAATTTCTGCAGGGACAGAGAAGTCAAGAGATTCAAAATTATAAGTGAGTCAGTGCAGGTGCTGAGGTTAGAAACCAAGTTTCAGAATCTTCAATAATCGTTCTATACATCATTTTCCATGACTTCCAGCATCTCAGATTATAATGATATTTCAGTACTAAATATGTAGCATCATGATAAAAAAGTTATTATAGTGCCTCCTTTTCCTTATACATAACAGGAAGTAAAAGTCTTAGAATTAAAATGTTCAGTAGACTTATGCTACTTTGGAGGTCTGTATCTATTTTCATTCTAATTCCAGAGCTTTAAGGAATCTCCAAGAGAATTTTGAAGCTCTGGATAAAATGTAGTGATTTTTATTTTGCAGTAGAGTCTACTACATATGCATTTATTTAACAACTTATATTATCCCTAGTAGATCACCCTCATTAAACGCTCACTCGGGATAAACACAAAAACTATTATTGTCCCAAACCAGTCATATAATTGACTCATCTGTTGGCCTTGATTAACTTGAAATAAAGTTTTCAGCAACTAATAAAAAACAGTCTCTAAATGAAAGGCACGGATTATGAATACTAATAGAAAGAATCTCTTCCATTTTTACCTGGCAGTGTCTTGGAACCTGGTTTGACAACAAGGCCACGGGCCCGAATGATTTCCACCTCTAGCTGTCCTTTTTTGTCCATCATTCCTACTTGAATGTCACCTAATAGTATGTGGAGAAGAAACAAACTTGCCTTAGCATTTAAATGCAGTGGGAAAAATGCTTATGCCAAAAATCTTGGTTTAATACTTTCATTATTTCCCACATATTTTTAAAAAATTCAAATGTATTTAAAATTTTATGTCAATAATGTCTTACTTTAAAAAGCATTGTGAATTAAGATAGACAAAATTTAGTTGAAGACTTCTCATTGCTACGCTCTAAGACACTTCATTCTTGCTGATGATATTAAAGACTGAAATATACCCCTTGCCATCGAGTCAATTCCAACTCATAGCGACCCTGCAGGATAGAGTAGAACTGCCCCCACAGGGTTTCCAAGGCTGTAAATCTTTACAGAAGCAGACTGCCACATCTTTCTACTGTGGAGTGGCTGTTGGGTTCGAACCGCCGACCTTTCAGTTAGTGGCCGAGCCACCAGGGCATCCTCTATGAAATACAGAGAATGTAATTTTCAATAAACCAAAAGAAAAACAACAAAATCATATGACAGAAATTCTTACCCATTGCAGGTGTAGCCAGAGTCTGGCGCCCCACTAGCTGGGCAGGACCGAGGCCATCCAAAAAATCACTGAATTGGCTATCAGAGGCCAAGCGGACACCAGGGAAAATCAGACTAGAAGTAAAATAACAAATGGGATTTAAACTTTCAACCCCTGTTTACTTTAGGTATGCTTAAGTTTCCTTCTAGCCTCCTTCCTGTGGCAGGAGCAGCCGGCACCATTATTTTGTCACTTCTATTTATTGGATCTCAAGCCCCACTCCGCCTTCCATGGCTCTCCCTCTGTATTTTATGGCGAACCACCTATACTACAAGAAGCACTTTTACACTGTATCACAGGCATCTGTTTATGTGTCTTTCTTTTCCTTGGTTTGGATGGCAGGGACTGTGATTTATATCAGTAACAGTCAGCCAGTACATACTGAGCATTCACTATACACCAGGTATTGTCATATGTAATACTTCGTTGCACTCTGAGATAGATTCTATTATTTAACCCCTTTTACAGATGAAGAAGCTTTTCTGGGTCATTCCCATAGGCATACAAATTTCTTTCACCTTAAAAAAAATCCCTTTCTTGCCCCATCTCCCTCTCTAGTTGCCACCTTGTTTTGTCTCCCTCCCTTTACAGCAAAATTCCTTGAAAAAGTTGTCTCTGTGTGCCATCTTCAATTTCTTTCCTCTCATTCTCTCTTGAAACTTTAATTAGTTTTTCATTTTCACCACTCCACCAAAATTTCTCCAATCAAGGTCATCTAATGACCACGGTGCTATATCCAACTGTCAGTACTCATCTAACTTAACATAACAGCAGCAGTTGACACAACCGATTCCACCCTCTTCCTTGAAACACTTTCTCCAATTTCCTTCCTGTACTCCTTAGTCTCCTGGTGTCCTCTTTTGCCACACTGCCTCAGTCGCCTTTGCTACTTCTGCCACTAAATATTGGGAGCTTGATCCTTTGACCTCTTACCTTTTCTATATGTCTGTATTCCCTTGGTGAGCTCATCCAGTCTCATGGTTTTAAATGCCTACACTGACATTTCCAGCTTGGCCCTCTCCCTTGGACCACAGACCTGTACTCCAATTGTTTAGTTTACATATCTGTTTGGATGTCTAATAGGCACCTGAAACTTAACCTGTCCCAAAGCAAGCCCCTAGCATTGCTCTCCCCTAAAAAATTTCAACTCTGTTCTCCTCAGAGGGCTCCCCATCTTGATAAATGGGAACTTCATTTTTTAATTGTTCAACCTTGGAGTTATCTTTCCCGTTTCCTTTCTTTCTCTCATCATTGTTGTTAGTTGCCATTGAGTCTATTCTGACTCATGGTGACACCATATGTTACACAGTAGAACTGCTCCATACGGCTTTCCTGGCTATAATTTTAATGGAAGCAGATTGCCAAGCCTTTTCTTCTGCAGTACTGCTGGATGGGCTCAAACCACCAACCTTTATGTTGGCAGCTGAGTGTAAACTGTTTGCGCCACTCAGAGACCTTTTCTCTCATTACTCATATCAAATTCATCAATAAACCTTATTGGCTGTACTGGCAAAATACCACCACAATATGACGTCACTCATGCTACCACCCTGGTCCAAGTCACCATTATCTATCATCTGAATTACTTCAACAACCTTCTGACTGGTCTCTGTTGTCACCCTTGTCCCCCTCCCCCACAGCAGTCAGAGTGATGTGTTAACACTAAAGTTAGACCACATCACTCCTCTGCTGAAAACGCTCCAATGATTTCACATGCCACTCAGGGTAAAAACCAAAGTCCTTACAATGATATGTAAAGCCTGTATAAGCTGTACCCTACCTCCCCCAATACATAATTCCAAACCTGCTACCACTCTCGCTCTTACTCTACAGTGCTACCCTTCTCACTCCTGATGTCGGGCAAGCTCCGGCCTCATCACTGCCTCAGCTTGGAATGTTCTTAAGTATCCATATGACTCACTCATTTCCTTCAGATATTTACTCATATGTGCTGTCTGGCCAATTCCAACTCATGGTGACCTCATGTGAGGCACAGTAGAACTATGCTCCACAGGGTTTTCAATGGCTGATTTTTTAGAAGTAGATCACCAGGTCTTTCTTTGAAAATGTCTCTGAGTGGACTTGAAGTTCCAACCTGTTGGTTAGCAGCCAAGTGGGTTAACTGTTTGCATCACCCAAGGGCTCCTTTCCCTGTCTACCTTACACAAAATCGTAACCCCACCCTCTTGTCTTGCTTTATTTTTCTCTTGTACTAATTAATATATTATCTATTTTACTAATTTTCTTTGTATATATAAACCTTACTAATTTGTCTTGTTTACTGTCTATCTTCCCCATTAGAATGTAAGTTCCATGAGGGTGGGATTTTGTCTGTTTTGTTCACTGTTACCTCTCCAGCACCCAGAACCATGCCTGGAACACTGTAAGTACTCAATCAATACCTGTGAAACTCAATTAGTCCATTAATTAAAATATAACTTGCCCAAAGTTATATAATACCAAAAACCCAACCCCCACCCCCCCAAAAAAAAGATGAGACCCTAGGCCCATTTTATTCCAAAGTCCATGCTCTTAACCACCAACTGGTATTGCCTCCCTTATGTGACTCAGGATCCCCAACTCATAACACAGAGCCTGGAACACAGAAGGTATGGTAAAGATTTGTTGAATGAATTCATGAGTATTCATCTCATTTCTCCAATAAGACTATAAACATCTGGAGTGCAGGGGCTATAGTTTAAATATTTTTATATCTCTAGCAGTATCTAACACTGTGCTTTATAATAAATGCTCAGTGTACACTTATTTTTTACTTGACTCTTTATCTTTTTTAAGACTTCCTTGATTAACATCAAATCTATGTCTCACATCTATCCCCAAATACTCAGTTATCCACCTTTTTTTAATCTGTTTCCATAAATATCCCATATAACCCTATATATAAGTGTGTGGAAATAGTATATATCTTTTGTATTTATATGATTTTGCTAAGACAAACTATCCTTAGGGCATATCATCAATACTATGCCAGCAGCTCCTATGGCCTCACATCTGTGGACTAGCCACATGTATGTTATCTCAACATCTGATGCTTCCATGGTGATGATAAGGAGAGGTCAGGGAATCCCACTTTCCTCTATCAATGTCTTTACACACCCATCTATGGATCAAAAGTTGCTGATTACTACCAATTTGCTGACAACAGGGTTATGAAATCTTTACAAATGCCTTAAAAAAAAATCTCAGAGACAGCTGATTTGAAGGAAAGCTACTTAAAAAAAAAATTCACCAACTTTCTTTGTGCATTTTTTTTTTTGGGCTACTGTACTTATCTAAACTGTTTATTACTGCATGAAAATAAGTATATCTCAGAATTCCATATTTTTTAGTAATAATAACTAAGAACAAAGATGAAAAAATTAGCATCGTTTGGGTGGTCTGTCATGAATGCTTATTCTTTTTGTGCTTCTACAAATTATTTCAATCAAGGGCCCAATCTTTTATTTGCATATATTGTGAGAATCACATTTTAGCATCTTGCCATTAAAGCAAAATGCTTTATCCCCAAATCCATTTCCCTAGATATAAAAAGCCAGAGATGTCACACCATTCAGAGGCACATGAGCAAAAGTGCTCTTCACATGAAATCAGCCAGTGAAAATTAAGATGGAGCTACAGAGCCTGTGAGTTAGCTTTGTAACAGAACAGAGAGTGGAACAGAGAAGACGGTCTCTGCGTAGGCCTGGAAGAGACACACTTCCAGCCAGACTCACTCACTTTCCTTCCGAGCTATAGCTGTTCATGCTGCCATCTGTAGACTCTCGGCTTGCCTGTCGAGTCATCCAGTTCCTCATTTCCACTGCCAGACCTGTCTCTGTACTTCTCTGAACAGTGCTTCGTAGCTTTTTACCTCCTGCTTCTGCAGAGACAGAAAACAAAAGGGGTAATAGTTTGTCATACTAGCTGGTAACAGATAACAACAGCAAAAAAATCAGCCAACGCTGTGAGAGCTTCAGATGAAAAGAGCTGCATAAATACAAAGTGCTCTTATTAAGACAGAGAGAAAAGGTATTTAAAACAATGTCTTGTTGAGTGGGATGAAATTTTTCTAAAAAATCTTCAAGAAGCAGAAAATACCATTGTTTTATTTCCTTTTAAAACAGTGTTCAAACTGGTAACATTAGGAACACAAAAGATTCAACCTAAGTAAAATAAAATAAGCTTTGTTCTCATTGTAATATTTGAATGCCAGATTTCTTTATGCTTATCTTTTCCCTTTTCTTTTCTTTTTGTTATTGTAAGGGAAGTAGGTCTTCATGCTATTTACAAAGAACAGGTGATGAGTAATCCTCAAATTCTATTTTTAACTTTCATAATAAAATCTATCTTTGTAAAGTGATAGATATTAGAAGGCAAAGAAAGCCACACAAAGGAGATAACACTGTTTGATAATAGCTTCACATCTGGGGGTAATTTTCAGAAAATTATAGAAGAATCTTAAAGGGAAACGAGAAAACTCAGCAATGCTATGTGAAAAGAGCTTTGAAATTTTTGGTCATGGATAGTCACTGTCCTCAAGGATCTTCGATAGCTTGGAAATGAGGTTTATTTACAGAAGCTAATTAGAAGATCAATGTTGTTGTTGTTGTGAATTGCCATCAAGTCAATTCTGACTCATGGTGATCCTATGGGTGCAGAGTAGAACTGCTCTATAAGATTTTCAAGGCTATGACCTTTAGAAGCATATCACCAGGCCTGTCTTCCAAGGCATCTCTGGATAGGCTCAAACCTCTAATCTTACAGCTAGTAGTGAAGTGTTTGACTGTTTTTGTCACCCAGGGACTCTTTAGAAGACCATGTAGGAAATTAAATCAAGTACCACAACAGAGGTTAAGAAGTACTATCTAGAGAGGTCAGAGGAGAAAGAGCTTCATGGAGGGAGTAGGATTTGAGCTGGCCTTGAAAAATGGGTAGATTGGGACCAGAGAAGAAGTAAGGAGAGTGTTTGGGGTAAGGGAAACAGCATGAACAAAGGGGCAGAGGGAGGGACGACCATGTGCATTTGAAGGGATGGTGCAATAACCCAACCACATATAGGAATAATGGGGTAATGGGTTAGATAAGAAACTGAGCTGAGATTATTAAAGGCCTCAAATGCTGGAATGTGGGAGTTTGAGAGACTACTTGAGCAAGAGGGCATAGTCCAAATTATTTGTATTTATTTACTTCTTGTTGGGCCTAAATACTTACCACATTGACCCTGCATATAATTAGCTCTTTAGGATACATCCACATGGTAAGCTCTTTCAGTGCCTGGTATTAATATGTTCTTTTTAGATCAATAAATATTTGCTGATATTGCCAGTGACTTATTGAAATCTATTTTCACCAACTCTCTTACAATATTTGGTTACCATTTTGAAACACTGCTTTAAGTTTTATCTGTTACAGGGCTTCAAACCGGCTTTGCCTGGTTCAGTCATGGCTGACAAAGTGAAACCTGAATGGACTTGAATTTTTAAAATGTGGGTGAAGTGGAATGATAAGGGGAACAGGAAAAATTATGGGTTGAGGCTCTGCTAGAAACTTAATCTCCCTCTTGGAAAACAAGGGCAGCATGCACGTTGCATAGCAACCAAACCTCTTGACTGGCAGAGTCAGAAACAGCAGTACCCCACTCAAAGATGGTGGCTGACCCCGCTGCTTTGAATGTGTGTCACTCTCCACAATCCTGACAATAAACCAGTCTCCCGCATCAGAATCCTGAAAGGGCTCACTACACCTCTTCCGAGTCTCCCATTCCAGGGCTTTGATTGTCATTTTTCCCATTCTGCCTCACCCAAATTTAAAAAATTCGGGTCTGTTCTGATTTTGCTTCATTGGCCATGACTGAACCAGTTTGAACCAGTTCAAAGCCCTGATCTATCATTCACTGCTACATTAATGTACATCAAAATGTTTTAAAAACTATATATAAAAGTAAGTTATGACTGATCTGTAACTCAGTTTCATAATGTAAGGCTGATATCTTGGATAATTGATAATAAACATGTTGTACTGATATGAACTGTAGGAGGTTATAAAGCATCCTCCATTGATGAGGGAAAGCTCTTCTTTACAGAGGAATATGGAAAAGGAATGACAAAATTAAAAAATTACCAATTTGCACTTTGAGAGACAGAGTAGCAGGGATGCAGGGTCTGGGGACCATGCTTTCAGGGGACATCTATGTCAACTGGCATAACAAACCTTATTAAGAAAATGTTCTGCATCCTACTCTGGTGAGCGGCATCTGGGGTCTTAAACGCTTGCAAGCAGCCATCTAAGATGTGTCAATTGGTCCCAACCACTTGGAGTAAAGGAGAACGAAGAACACCAAAGACACAAGGAAAGTATTGGCCCAAGAGACAGAATGGGCCACATAAACCAGAGACTTCATCAGCCTGAGACCAGAAGAACTAGATGGTGCCCGGCTACCACCAATGAACGTCCTGACAGCGAACACAACAGAGGGTCCCTGATGGAGGAGTAGAACGATGGGATGCAGAACTCAAATTCTAGTAAGAAGACCAGACTTAATGGTCTGACTAAGACTGGAGGCACCCCGGAAAGCATGGCCCCTGGTCTCTCCATCACCCCAGAACTAAAACCATTTCCGAGGCCAACTCTTCAGACAGGGATTGGACTGGACTGTGAGACATAAAGTGATCCTTGTGAAGAATGTGCCTCTTAGCTCAAGTAGATACAAGAGACCAAAGGGGCGGCTTCTGTCCAGAGGTGAGATGGGAAGGCAGAGAGAGTTAGGAGCTGGTTGAATGTTTATGGGGAATCAGGGGTGGAGGGAAGGAGTGTGCTGTTGCAGAATGGGGTGAGCGGTTGGGGTCTCATAACAATGTATGTAAAAAAAAAAAATTCTGTATGGGAAACTAACTTGAAATGTAAACTTCATTTAATTACAACAATAAAAAAAATTACCAATTTGCAGTGTCGAATAGAATAAATAATTTAAGAAAGGCTCATCAATAGATGCTAACACCATTAGATGGAAGGCTGGTAAAAGGAAATGAGCCAAATAAACATCCCCTCAAAAATTAGCTATAATTGTTAAAGGGAAAAAATATACTTTAACAATGGGAAATCTGGTTACCACCATCTTAACCAAGTGATCAAACTTAGTATCATCAGTAGTTAGGCAATCTTAAGTACCTACTGATATAAGATACATACTACCACCTATCAAATTGTTCTAGACAAAAATATACATCTTGAATCTAATCAGGCCTTTGGAACCAATTGCCAGATTAGAAAAACACAGGGGACAGAATAATGACGTAAATGATACTACGAAGAAACAATCAGATAAACCCAGACCATGGGATATAGTTCAAGACAATTGGCTTAGTCTCTCCAAAACATCAACGTCATGAAAACAAACAAGTAAACTAACAAAGTAGGGGGACTGTTCTAGATTAAAAGGCATCAAAGAGACATAACCATCAGATGCTGTGAATGTAATCTGACTGGCTTCCAGTTTGGAAAAGAAAAGAAAAAAAACTCCTAAAAGCAAAACACTATACAGGCAGTCCCTGGATTACAAACGAGTTCCAACTAAATCTGTCTTTAAGTCGAATTTGTACGTAAGTCGGAACAGTTAAGTACAGTTTGTATCTAATGTCAGTTAGTCAAATGTTTGCCTTAGCATACAGTATATAGTATGCCTTTGTATGCATAAAACATTAAAGAAACACTTCCATATACACTAAAACATCTTTAACATACTAAATCAAAAAAACTAAATCAAACCTGTTGCCGTCAAGTCAATTCCAGCTCATAGTGACCCTACAGGACAGCGCAGAACTGCTCCATAAGGTATCTAAGGAGCGGCTGCTGGATTCGAAACTTTTGGTTAGCAGCCATTAGCTCTTAACCACTGCGCCACCAGGACTCTGTTAACATAATAATATAGTAATAATAATAATATTTTGATGTGCATCGTGAAGTAGTGCCTGTTTGTTATTACGAACCATCATATATACTTTTAATTTTGAATACAATAGACTTTACGGGGGTTGGTTTATAACTACGGGTTGTATGTACATCTGATGTTTGTAACCTGGGGACTGCCTGTACAAGCAATTTTAGGGCAAATACGGAAAATCTGAATATGGATGAGAATAGGAAATCATTGTTAATTTTCTTAGGTGGATAATATAATAATATTATATATCATATATATTATAAAGGAGATTTTCCTTCTCATTAGGAGACGCATGCTGAAGTATTTTGCCTGAAGTGTTATAATGTCTACAATTTACTTTCAAATGGTGTAGCAAAAAAAAAAAAATCACTCAAACACAAAGCAAACGGTAAAATGTTAAAAAAAAAGAAAGGATGAGGATGCGAAGTAGACTCTGGTATTCATGAATTTCATATTTATGATTTTGAGGGTGATCTCAGATAGCCACATTAAAAAGTAATAAAATTTCTCTCAGGTGTGAAATGGAATCATGGAAGGTGGTAGGTTGATGTGAGGGGACCAGGCTGAGCCCCTGCCTCTTTATATAGCTTTAGTGTTCCACCTCCAGTGAAGAACGCCTTTGAGAAAGAAAAATCACCATCAAGTGAGATATACAGTACCTCAGTGACGTTTGAAAATGTGGCATAAAGATATGTACAGCGAACATATATGACTTGCAAAGGAAATGAGGTTCCTGAAGGTCTTGGGACATAGTCTTTGCAATGTCACAGCAAAAGTGACTTGAAAATTTGGCTATTATGGAATGATGAGAACCTGCTACCATTTGTCAAAGAATAACAATACAATGAGCTTCCAAGTCCTTTGGTGTACAAATTTCTTTTTACACGCATCCTCTTCATAACAACTCTAACAATTCCTGTTTTATAGAGGAGGAATTTAAG